AGTTGTCAAACTCCAATTGGAGTCGGAGAACTCCGATTAAGACACCCAGATAATGCGATTAGAATTTGGTTTTCTCTACCATGTAACCGGCGTAGTCAGAGTATGATCGGACAGTGCATGTGCATGCACGCGCCACACCTCCGTAACCCAGGAATAAAAACACCAGAGCAGAGGAGTAGCGTGCGTCTAATCTGCAGAAAAAGTAGTGTGTCCATATTGTAGGACAAAAACAACGCTGTACGATGCTTCATCTTCTTGCTCCAAAATGCCCAGCAGCAGTTGTAGACACTTATGACATCTGGCACGGACCTGCTGTTGTTGTTGACGGTTGTATGAGGTCGGAAACAGCGCTGCTGAAAAACCCGTATCGCCGCCCAGTTTTGGGGAGAAGGACATGTTCACATCAATAATTAAATTTTCTCAGCTGCATGTATACACGGACAAGGAGAAAAGTCTGATTCGGCGAAAAAAACTAATAATGAGCTTAGTCTGATTAAACTGTGCGTGTAAACGTACTGAATGTAAACCCTTCTTTCAGCTCTATTCACCACTTCATTGGAGCTGCTGCTTTGTTACTGATGGAGAGTTAAACTCAGGGTGTTACTTTTTACAAAGCTTTGTAGAAAGTGATGCCTAACTCTAAGCAACCACTGACCTTCTCACTGAGCGGCGTTAGCAAAGCTTCGCAGCTGCAACTATGCTATTGGTCGCACAGTTCACGTGAAGTTTTCCTGTTTAAGGTTTCTCATGTCTTTTCTTTCCTTCGCAGATCCTGACGGCGTTGGACCGGGACGGGTACTGTCGCAAACACAAACTGAGGCACAAACTGGAGCAAGCCATCAACCTGATGTCTGGGAGCAGCTGAGAGGAGGGGAAGGACAGATGGACTGATGGACTGATGGATGGTGGGGAACAGGTGGAAGAATGGGGGGGGGGGGGCATTTTGTTTTTCTGAACTGTCGTTACAGTCAGTTGAACTGCTCAGTGTCGGACCGAGCTGACAGCCACGGCTTTGGCCCTTTTTACAATCAATCCATCAGCAGTTTATTGGTCAGTTGATTGATTGATTGATTTGAAGACTGATTCACTGGCTGGCTAGGACCCCAACTACCTCCTTGGGGCGGAAAATTACTTTACAAACTGACTTGGATACATTTACAGGATTTCAACACGGAACAGCGTCATTTTGGTGCAAAAACGAACTTCTAGATTCCAGCAGGGACTGAAACAAAGACAAGGATCCGGGACCACTTAAACCTAACCTTCATGGAAAAGGAGTTCAGACTGAGAGTCGAGAAACCACAACGATGTTTGGACTGTTGGACTGGTGGAAGTCCAACAGGTTTAGCCTTATCATCAGGGTCCCTGTAAAGACTGGATGAATCAGGGCTAAACCATGTCAATGCAAGGGTTGGCAAGGGAGTTTGAACCCTCTTCACTGATGTCGCTATTTTGGACAATATGTTTTCATCTTGGATCCACACCCTAGTGTCCGAGGATCAGCTAAAGCAAAACTGATCATGTGGTTTATCTGACCAACACAAGGAAGTCTTTGTTGAAGATGGTGGAGGTTGTTTCAAGCTTTAATGAAGGAGAAGAAGGCAGGAAAAGTGATGTCCCAATACCGGAGGACTTGGCCCGAAAGTGAAATCCCGAGGATTCAAGACTCTGCTTGTGGGCCAAGCCTTGACAGGATCTAGAAGTTTGCGAGTCGCTGAACGAAGGAACCACTCGATGTTTTCTCTGGACAATCACTCTGTACCACAGCACACTGAGCCCGATGCCTACTGATCGACCAGTTCCTGTGTCCATAAACCTGTCCTATGTCCTTGTTTCCTTTCGTTCACCTCCTATTTTGCTTTAACCATTTCCTCACTTGACCTCTTTCTCTAAGCCCCCCCCCCCCCCCCCAGACCCTTCGCCATCATTGGCCTCTGGCCCTCCTATTGGCCAGGAAGACTCTTTAGTAATGTACTGCCCGACCAATCAAGACTGTGGAATTGAACCCAAATGAATAAGGTTTTGAATACATTCCAGCACAGGCACACAGGCAAGGTCTGTAAAGAAGCTTAACTTCTTATTCTGTTGATTTTAGGAAGACCAGGACTTCTTGGAAGTGGACTGATCAGAGTTTTTCAGGTTCCAAGTGGTTCTGGATTCAGTACCTGTTTTTGTTTGGTGTGGATCGCTACAGACCTTGCACACACATACACATACACACACACACATACACACACACATATACAGCCATGCTTTACAGCGCCATGCGAACCGTGCCCAGGGGAAAATACTGTGCAGAACTACAAGCCCAGTGCCATGTAAAGACCGGACCGGATCACGTCAGAGCTGGACCGGACCTGGACCAAACCCGGGTCAAAAACAACCTTTAATGGAGTTTTAACCGGACCAGGCTGAAGAACTTTAAAGACTTGTGGCCATAATTGTAAACAACAAAAAAAAGAAAGATGATAATAATGATGATGATGATGATGATGATGATGAAGATGATAAAGTATACAGTAGAAAAAAGAAGAAAACAAAAAGAATGGAAAACAGAAATATTGAAATTTTAACATGTAATAAGAACTGTGTTAAGGAGTTACGGAGCTGAACTTGTATATTATTACGCTACATCGGAGTCTGAGGAAGAGAGAGAGCTGAGGCGATCAAGACGGAACTGACCTGACCCTCCACAGCCGGACTGATTTAAGAGGACTGAGGGAGTCTGACCCGTCTGGAGAACAAACTGGACCTTTAGGTGGATGTTTGTTTGAAGATGTTCTGGTTGGAGGTCTGGGTGGGGTTGGGTTGGTGATGGTGTAGCCTTGTTCATCCCAGAGAACCCGGGTTCTCACAGTATGCAGGGTCAGACTTAGAAACAAAACCACTAACCTGAGATTTCCACCGCATCCAGAACAGCGGCGATTTTCGCCGTATGGCAATTCCAACCGGATTCGTTTGTGAGACGAATTTCCTGGCGGATTACAGACAGCAGTACAAGAACTCACAAGAACCCGCAGATTTACGTTCAATCACGCAATAACCAGTTGTCTCTGTAAAGACACACACATAGACATATAAGCAGTAGATTGTGTCCTTCCAGAGGAGGAAATCTACTTCTAGACTTCTAGAATCAGCATCTCCTCATCCATGGTGTCATCGGGGTGAAATGATGTCTAAAAACCTTTCACTCGTTCGTCTCCGCCCGTTTGCATGGTGTGAAATACGATCCGCCTGAAACATGGAGTGTTTTATTTTGAAAAGAAGCCGGATGTTTTATTTTGTGTCTGTGCCCAACTTCCTTTCCAGCACGGGTTAATCTGTGCTGACTTTATCCAGCATGCTCTGGCGTTTGAAAAAAATAGAACGCAGTGGAATGGAAAAGAAGGCGGTGGAAATTGACACGTTAACTTGAATAGTTACGATCAGCTGCGATCGGCGGATACCTTTGACCTTTTCGTAGCCGCTCAGGATGCGGTAGAAATTGCCAGTTAGTGCTAAATGTGAAGACTGGACCAGCACCAATCAGTACCAATCCTAATCTGAGAGTCCAGGCCCAGTGTGAAACCCTCGTACTCTCTGAATGAATGATGCTGCATGTTGGGTGGAGGACTTTCCATCATGTCAAACCTTTTTTTTTCCTTCTTGTGGTGGAACACGCTTACTTTGCTTGGCCGACTCAGATCCTCCAGAGGTTTCAGATTTGAGAACACAGAAGTTCAACAAAGACCTTTGACCTTTTACAAACACACCAAGACTAGTTAGCACTCTGCCGACTCCTCGGAGTCTCTTCAGGTTAGTTGGGTGGAGGACTTTCCATCATGTCAAACCTTTTTTTTTCCTTCTTGTGGTGGAACACGCTTACTTTGCACGGCCGACTCAGATCCTCCGGAGGTCTCAGATTTGAGAACGCAGAAGTTCAACAAAGACCTTTGACCTTTTACAAACACACCAAGACTAGTTAGCACTCTGCCGACTCCTCGGAGTCTCTTTTGGTTAGTCATGTGGATCAAATTCAAAGTCAAGGCAATAATTATTCCATTTTTTTCAGATCATCACTTTGGTTTCATTTCACCTCCAAAAAAAAATCGAACATGAAAACATTCGAATCGTTTGCAAGTTTGCATGCAGTTGTTTGTTAAACTGTCCATCTTTTTGCATCAGCTCCTTCTTTATCTCCTTGTTTTCTTTATAAGAAGGCCTCTGGAGGCCTGTGAAGAAATGCAAAATGTGAAACCATCTGTAGACACTGTGTTTCTCCAACACCATCATCAGCTCTCTGGAGGACCGTCGAAATGCGTGGCGTTTGAAAATGTTCCACCACAGCTGAAGCGCCTCTCTCTCTTGGCTCTCTGCGATGCCATAAAGCTACAAAGCACCTTTCTTGCTGTTGTTTCACTGTCGTTTAGATCTTTGGGGCCAAAAGGATCCGAGTGAGAAGGAGGAGGAGGAGGAAGATGGGTCCTGATAAAAGACTGCCTTTTAGAAGATTAATTATAGAACAGGGAAGGGAAGCCACTACCATACCAATACCACTGTTCATTCAGACTGTGTGTGTGTGTGTGTGTGTGTGTGTGTGTGTGTGTGTGTGTGTGTGTGTGTGTGTGTGTGTGTGTGTGTGTGTGTGTGTGTGTGTGTGTGTGTGTGTGCGTGCGTGCGTGCGTGCTCCTGCTGCAGTGGAAACTCAAGCGTTAAATCACTGATAGTATCTGCAGCTCAATTAAAAACCTTTTTCTTTATAGTCACACCGTGTAATCTGATGATCTTATCTTCAGAGCTTTTCAAATCTTTCAAATTTTTTTATCTCTTTCAAAAATAAAAAACCTCAAATTGCTTCAAAGTCAAAGTCATTGGCAAAGATAAAGCCATTAAAACTCAGCCAGTCATTTTTTAATTGTCTCCTCGTCGCCATTTTGATCAGAATTTACCTTTTCCTCGGAATGGTGTGACGGCAGTTTAGAGGAGGTGAGGAGTTTCTGAAGGGTGAGGAGGAGGGAGAAATGAGCAAATCTCAAGAGGAGGATGTAGAGGAAGGGAAAGGGATGATGCATGTAGAGGAGGAGGAGGAGGAAACACCCGCTGCATGCAGAGGAGAGAAGAAAAGGAGAAATGATTATAGAGAGGGGAGTGTAGAGGAGGAGGACGAGGAGGCTCCAGCGTTCAAAAGGTGTAGAAGAAGGGGAGAACCAAATGTTAGAATAGTAAACGGTAGGATTAGGATGAGAAGAGGAGGTCAGATTTTCTGTTTGCATGCTAAAGTCAAAGGAAGAAGAGGAGGAGGAAGCGAGGGAGGAAAGGAGACGCTGCTGGAATACAGAGAGAGGGAGAGAGGGAGAATACTGATCAGGGGGAAACAGACAGAGGCACAGTCATCCATCAAACCAACCGAGGAGAGAGGAGGAAACACCCCCAGAGTGGAAAGGAGAGGAAGGACGGTGGAGGAGGAGGAGAAAGCAACAGATCTGATCCTGATCCTGGACTGTCAGATGGATTTTTCACAGTTTAAGAGGAAATTAAATCTGTTAGTCCGAATTTTAAAAATGAACCTGTAGAATAAAACATCCTGGTAGGGAGGCGTTCATTTTTACAGACACGAACGAACACACGGTAAAGAAGAGGCGTTCAATGACTTAGAGTCAAGAACAGATGCAAATTAGCACTGCACCAAAGTTCAACATGTGTTTCAGATTTTAGTTCTGAAGTCGATCAGGGTCGAGATTCTCCCGATGTCCTCCTGTTGCATCAGAAATGGTCAAACCAAACTCCAGTTAAAAACCAGGATATTTAAACTGGTTTGTTTCTCCTTTGGCAGTCAGACTTGTCATCCTGAATTTAGGCTTTCCCAAAAATCTGCATCATATTAAATTTAATTCAGCGTACTTTAGGCGCAGTTATTGTCACTAAATCCTAGTCAAACCAATATCTGGTTTTATAGTTTGGTAGTGGTAAAAATTTTACAAAGTTCATCACAAGAAATTTTCAGGGTGATAGAAAATGAAAATAACTGACATTAACGTGAACTTAAACCTTACATTTTTTTAACACTATTTCTACTCCGTCTATCCAGCCGTGATGGTGAGATGACTGAGATCCACCAAAAACAGACTTTGACTTTGAGGCTGTTTTCTCCTCATCTCATAGAGAGACCTGAAAAATCCAGGATTTACACTTTTCACACGTCGACACTCTGATACAGTCATTTTATATCAGTCATGTTTGCATGTGTTTCCACGGTGACAGCGAGCTGTGTGTGTGCGTATGTGTGTATGTTGTGTATGACTGCTGACCCCCCCCCCCCCCCCCCCCACACACACACACACACACACACACACACACACACACATACACACAGCTGGGAGGAGGTAAAAGAGACTGAAGGGTGCTTGTGGGTGGGCTGGGTCTAATTCCTGAAACAGAAAACAAACAAATAAATAGGGATTGGGTTCATATCTATATGTTTAATTACACCCATTTATCCACACACACACACACACACAGCTCAGAGACTTTAACGTTGTCCAGCAGTGAGATATTTATTGATTAATTTCCTTTTAAATTATTTTTGACAATGTATTTTATTTATTGTGGGAATGTGTGTTTACATGGGTTCATGAGTTTGTTCAGCGTTAAAGAGACAAAAGAGCTCAACACACACACACACACACACACACACACACACACTGTTCTCGACATCCGGGCATGTTCAGACTCATCCACCTGATCCACCTGGAAACTGATCCTGCCATATCGACTGATGTAATTGGTTAAAATCAGACTCACCTCACAGAGAAGAATCAGAGGAGTCATTAAAACGGCTGAAGTTTTAATGACTCTTCTGATGTTTCCAGGAGTTGATCAGCAGCGAGGGGAGCGAGGCGTTCAGAGATCCTTCAGTTAGTTTGAGAGCCTTTTTTTTTTTTTTGTGGAATCCCTCTTTGGAAATAATAAACTAAATCAATCCTCACTGGGACCAAATCACAGACCGAAGATTCACTGAAGTTAGTTTAGCAGTGTCTGTGAGAAAATTAGGTCTGTAGTGAGTGAGTGAGTGAAACTACTTCAACTGGGCAAACAACAAACTAAACTGTGAAGGAGAAAGTCAGCAGAGAAAAGGACAGACGAACCTGTACATCGATAAAACTCAGTGAATGTAATCGAGTGAAAACAGGACAGAGATCCAAAGAATCAAAACAACAACAACAACACCGCCGTACCGTCTCTGTCGAATTTAAAACAAGTCAACAAACAGGATGAGAAACTGAGATGAGCTTTGTCAGCTTCAGTTATTTCCAAAGAAGAGATGGTTCTGTCCCTTATATTTACCAACAAACATGCTCTGGGAGACCCCGGAGAAGGGGGTGTCTGCAGAGCCGGAGAGCCCAGCAGATCCACAACCCTCTTTGTGCCCCTGCTGGACAGAGTAGGTCATTGCATGACAGATCCAAAACCTGAAACACGTGACCTCCCCTAATTGCTGCTTCTTTCTCGAAGGTTATCGCCTCGAATAGAGCGACATCATGATGGAGTATTAAACATGAACCACATAATTTTTAGTCATTAATAAAACTGTTGTCTTGAATTTAAGGGCGGTACAGTGGTGTAGTGGTTAGCACTGTCACCTCACAGCAAGAAGGTCCTGGGTTCGAATCCGGTCTCAGGGCGTTTCTGTGTGGAGTTTGCATGTTCTCCCTGTGTCTGCATGGGTCTACTCCGGGTACTCTGGTTTCCTCCCAATTCCCAAAAACATGCAGGAGTGGGGTTAGGTTAATTGGCCACTTTCAAATTGCCCATAGGTGTGAATGTGAGTGTGGATGGTTGTTCATATGTCAGCCCTGCGATGAACTGGCGACTTGTCCAGGGTGTCCCCTGCCTTCGCCCGAAGATGCTGGGATAGGCTCCAGCCCCCCTGCTACCCCAGAAACGGGAACAAGTGGTAGATAATGGATGGATGTCTTGAATTTGAAAAAAATGTAAATGTGTTAATGCTAACATCAGCTTGTCTGAAGTCGGAAATGTACGATTTGACCCGTAGGCTACTAGCATTGTAGTGAATGAAACAGTAGTGCGATAACTAATAATGTGCATGAGATTGCACATGAAAATATACAAGAAAAACACACAAAATATCACGTTCATCCGGCTCTGCAGACACATACTATTGCATTCAGGGGGTCAAAATCAAAGCCAAGGAATGAAGAGAATAAAAGCGAGGCCAATCCCTCTGATATTGGGATAATATAAGTTGATATTTTGGTAGTAAAAACATGAAATATTATAGGAAGGCAGACAATATATAAAAAGATGAAAAATTTATAAAATCTAGATTAATATCTAAATATGTGACTGTGGACACTTATTTATCTTTAATATAAATTTAAAATTTTTGAAAAGAAGTGGGCTGAGTCCCAAGAACTGAAAACTTTCTGCACAAATTTTAAAGACGTTTTATTTTGATTAGATAATATGTGACTGCAGTCACTTATTTATTTATTAACTTGTTTATTAAATTATATTTTCTGGGCACAAAAACGGATGTGGAGCAGCAGTTAAAAAGAGGGTTGCCGATCTGTTTGGTTCTCCGGCTCTTCAGACATGTAATATTGAGACCCCGTCAGTGTTGAATGACCCTCCCCTCTCATCTGATTAAGCCCCTCCCACCTCGCAGACTCCTGACATTTGGTTGACAGCTAATCCCAGTGGGCTTCATTGTACCATAGCAGCAGCAGCAGCAAAAATCCCTGGACCCCCTCTGAGTGTGTGGGTGGGGGGGGGGGGGTCGGATGTCATTATTGTACCATAATATAATTATTATTATTATTATTCAGAGTCGGTGTTTCTTAGAAAACTGCGGTCAGTTCAGGATTCATGATTTATCCCTATGCATGTTTCCCGACAAATGTCCAAAAACAAACCTTCAGATTTCACAATCTCATCTATTTGGTCCTCATGAGGGTCCTCGGGCTGCAGGTTGAGAAGCACCGCTCACACTGGATCTTGTGTCTTAGTTCAGGATGGGATTGTTCATTCAAGCGGCGCTCCAGGCGCTCCGGGTTTCAGATCGTGAGGCTTCAGGGTAAAGACCGGGGGAAGAGTACGCTGGGATGTCGCCAAACTAACTCGAATAATTCGATTTCAGCGGTCAACCACAGACCACAAGGATGTTTTAAGTTCCTCCAGTTTCTCTGAACTTAAACAGGTCCTGTACCAAGAGCAAAAAGGCGATGTTTTATATTTATCCGATCCGAACAAATAAACAGGGCTTGATCATCGGCATCTGTTTCCAAACCGTAGACCAAATGGTGAAAAAATAACCTCCAAATACCGGGTACAGTCGGTGCCGTATTTCAGCGTCAGAGGAGAAGATCATGAAGTCCTGCTAAAAACACCTGGATGAGGTTGAACTGTTTTTTACAGTAATGCACTCTGGGACTTGTAGTGTTTAAAGCAGCCAGCTGGTTACCTCCCTCCATCCAATCAACTGACGGCTTCTAAATACACGTCTTAAACCGGTCTGTGATTGGCTCTCGGCATGTTTGTGATGACATCACAGTGCCCAGATCCTCTTGGTCCTCCGACGAAGCGTCACGACCCATCCCCCTGCCACGCCTCAGCGCCGCCGCTCATTCACTCTGCCTGGAAAACCTGTTTTTGTGCGTAAAAACGCAGAAACACACGCCACCTTGATACATTGCTTTCCAGGATGTAGTCAGGGCCCATTTTTGATACCATTTGCCATTGCCTTGTTTTTATTTTTTTATTTTCGCTGAGTTAAAATGTAATGATGATGATGATGATGATGAATCTTCTTCATGTAATAGCCTGTGTCCGTTTTTATACCATTGCCATTGCCTTCTGCTGAGTTTGTATATTTGTGTGATTTCACTAAAGTGTAATGGAAACAATGGACTCCGGTGGATTTCATTTCTGAGAGTTGAGAGTAAACCTTCAGGGTCTCAGAGAAGAATTTAGGGCCAGTCTGACCCGGGTCTGAATCCTTCAGAGGATAGCCTGTCTTTTTTTAAGGTGACTTTAAGTTTTGGTGATGCAAGTAAGATGCAAGGGTACAGACTAATTAATGGAGAACCATGATCCAGGCTTTGCAGGGCTTATCAGCAGCAGCAACAAAAGAGGTTTTATCACAGGTTTCCATTATCAGGAAATACACATGATTAAAAGAGAGACAGACAGACACAGACAGAACGACAGACAGAAAGACAGAATGACAGACACAGACAGACACACAGACTGGTATGGACTCGTGTGTCTGTAAAGTCCACATAGAGATGCAGACCCTCATCTTTAAAGACCCTAAACCACAGATTTACTGACTGTGTTTTCAGACTAATGAGTCCAGCTGCATTATGAGTGTAACTGTATGTATACTGGACTTCATGCTGCATGTCTTAATAGAGGACACCTCCAGTAAGACACACAGCAAAACCAGCAATAATAATAATAATAATAATAATAATAAAAGTAATAATGACGGACAAACTGACAGACAGATGGATGATGGTTTAGAGAATGAAGAAAGAACACCAACCAATCAAAG